TTAAAAACCATCAAATTTATACGTAGATTAACACAGCATTAACCAAAATGACAGCCTACTTTCATTTTTAACATAGAATTGCAGAAAAGTTTCGTTTTGAACCCAAAATGACAGCTTTTTTTCATTTTCACCCAAAATTACAGAAAAGTTTTGTTTTGAACCCAAAATGACAACCTACTTTCATTTTTAACCCCAAATATCCTCATACTTTTGTTTTTTTTCACAAAATACCCTCATACCTCCATTTTTTTTTCACAAACATACCATCATACTTCCGTTTTTTTCACAAAATACCATCATATTTCCGCTTTTTTCATAAAATACCCTCATAATTTTGTTTTTTCATAAAATACCAACATACTTCCGTTTTTTTTCACAAAATACCATCACACTTCCGTTTTTTTCATAAAATACCCTCATAATTTCGTTTTTTCACAAAATACCATCACACTTTCGTTTTTTCACAAAATACCATCATACTTCCGTTTTTTTTTCATAAAATACCCTCATAATTTCGTTTTTTCACAAAATACTATCGTACATTCGTTTTTTTCACAAAATACCCTTATACATTCGTTTTTTTCACAAAATACCCTCATAATTTCGTTTTTTCACAAAATACCATCATTCTTCCTTTTTTTTTCACAAAATACCCTCATAATTTCGTTTTTTCATAAAATACCATCATACATAAAATATCCTCATACTTGCATTTGAAACGCATAGTGGCAACCAAATTTCAATTATAATCACACTAATCATAAATAATCAACAAATTTCATTCGAAAACATTAAAATTGTTAAGAAGCATCCATAATTTCTAGATTATTCATATATTGTTTGTGTGTAAAGCATGAAAAAGGTGCAATTAACTAAAAATATTGTCATGAAGCATCTAGTTTTTCTTTTGCCCACAGAAACAACACATCTCATCATTATGTCTTTTGCAACGATTCATCCGCCTGATACATGAAAAAAATAAAAACTTGTTAATATAATCATTAGAGTTCTCAATCATGAAAATTAAATTATTATTATAATTACCTTTCTTTTTGAACAACTAGTAGCATAATGACCCAATCCTTGACAGTAAGAGCATGTTCGTTTTTTAGGGGCTTCTAAAGAAGACTTTATTCTACTTGCAAGTTTTGGACGCCCTTTTGTAGTAGTTGGACCAAGAGGATCACGGATAGATAACTGTGGCATCATATCTACTTGCGGAACTCCCATACAAGAACTTTGAGATGCATTTTCCAAGGACGTAGATTTTTTTCGATTTGCTTGTTCATCTAAAAGACTTATCAATATTGTATTAAGTTTTTGTATCTCCGAAGGGGAGTCCCTTGCTTGTTCAATTAGTTTAGTAAAATTTGAACGGACACAAAATAATGTGTAGGCACTAACTCCATTTTCATTATTTAATTCTCTGAGTTCAATACTAGCACTACCCAGTTTGTACCTAGCATCAATGGTCCATCGCGGTAAAATATAGTGATTCGGTAGTTCTTGAACATGCTTCTTCTTCATCACATATAAGCTATGCTTGCATAAAATCCCATTTGTCTCATACATAGAACACGAACATGTGACGCTGACTTGATTTAAAGAGCGAAAGATAACAATACGCCAATATTTATTATCAACATCCAATTGCCCAACTCTATATGTGCTTTCTTCTGTAGTTTTTGTTATAGTCTCGTGAGTCAAATTGGTAATAGCTTCACTCCATTCTTTTTTGAAAGTATCAAACATCTTCCTAGTATAAAATTGACCCGCTTTTGCTTCGATTGGATGCACTGAAGAAAGAACTGGTCTCGAGTTCATAGTCTTGAAGTCTTCATCTTCTTCGGCAGCCCTTCGTGACTCAACTGCTTTGTCGTATTGTACAACGAATTCATTCAACATGGTCCTCGAGTTAACAAATCCATCAAAAAAGGAATTGATACTCTCACTTCGTCCGGTTGTGGTCATACCAGCAAAGAAAATATCCTTCAAGAAGGGTTTAGCCCAATGTATACGTTGGTTATACATATCACTAAGCCAACAATTGCTTTCTAGTTCATACTTAATACGCATATCTTCCCATGTTGCTTCAAATTGTTCAATGGTGTCACTATTTACCCATTGTCTGTGAGTCTCTTGAAAATCACTGTAACGGGAAACATACGATCGAAGGTGCTCAGTTTCATGCTTCCTGATATGCCATAAACAAAAGCGATGTCGGGTATTTGGAAACACTTTTTTTATTGCATTGCCCATAGCTTTGTCTTGATCGGTAATAATTGCCTTCGGATACTTGTCAAACATACATTTGAGGAACTGTTCAAATAACCATTCAAATGTCTCTTCCTTTTCGTTTTCAAGCAATGCTCCACCAAATAGTATAGATTGTCCATGATGATTCACCCCAGTAAAGGGAGCAAAAGGCATCTTGAATTTGTTAGTCATATAAGTGACATCAAACACAACAACATCTCTGAATTTTGTATAGGCATCTCTTGATCTACCATCTGCCCAAAAGATATTTCTAGGATACCCGTCATCAGACAAATCCACGACAAAATACTGGTCACTGTCCACTAATGTTTTATCTTGAAAATGTTTTATAAGTTCATAAAACTCCTTTCCTCTATGTTGTTTTCGATGCTCAGATAAAACATCGGCACATTGCTTTGAAGTTACATCAGCTACATTTGAGGTTTTCATTGTATTAACAGCCTTTTTAATTTGAGAAGGTTTCAACCCTGCTTGACCAAATTGCACCATAAGAGATTTACCTTCTATTGAACGGTGGAAATTGCTATGAGATCGATGCTTTATCACCTTCGTAGGTGTCATGGTCAAGTCATGATTGTGTGTGTCATTAAACAAGTCCACCAACCATTTTCCATCCTCCTGTCTTGTTATTCGAAGCTTTGCTTGACATCCGGTTCTAACATCTCTACGACGTTTTTTCTCATTTTCACTTGAAGCATCTTTGTCCATCCTTTTGAAGCCTTCTTTGTTACATACATATATCTTCCGAAAGGGCTCATTTGTTTTAGGATTTTTAATTGTGTCATCTCTACGTATACCAAAGCCATGCAAAAATGAATAATCATTATAAAATGTATAGGCATCATCGGGCGTATCAAAAACCTTTCCCAGTATCCTTTCATCATTAACATCATCTTCGTCAAATTCAATGTTCACACTGATACTATTTATTTTTTCACTTTCATATGTTGCATCCACATAATCACTTGTGTCAATATCTCCGGTTATATATGGTTCTATAGCTTGATTTGTTGCCTCGGCTTCACTCATTATTGCCTACAATAGACAACAACGCATATTGAAACATTATACGTAAAAATTATATTAACAACCAACAATGAAAAACTAAAACAAAAATAAAATACATTGGATATTTTATCTTTTCAGAAAAATCGTTAACCCGCAATGTCTACCTCTAGAAACAACAATGTCAATAATAAAATCAGAAAAACTTCAAAAAATAAGTTTCAGAAAAAAATTACTTGGTACTGTTTGATCGAATTCAAATTCCTGAATTAAAACTTTTTAGTTTTTCCGTTAATTGTGATTGGTGGAATATAGCAAGTTAACTACAACACCTATAACCCAATTTCATGAATTGCAACTTCTTTTTTATTGAGATTTAGAAGAATATTAATAGGTATTCGATAATAAACTTGATAAACTTGTAAATTGAGGAATTGACCAACCTGTTAGACAAGACGAAATCCACTTTGCTGTTGTGAATTGCAGTTTTTTTTTACGGTGAAGGGTTTTTTTTTAATGTGAATAACGATTAGTGTTAATTCCGATCTTTGATTGCAATCGATTTGCTGTTGTGAGAAAGTTGTATGATCAACGCATCCAACTTCGAGAACTCAAAGGTTTTTTTTATTTGATTTATCGGTATTAAGTAGTCGTCTTGTGATTGCATGAAATCACCGATTTTTTTTCTTTTTCTGTGAATTGGTGAAGTCGATAGCTATCATTCGAAAAAGAAGGAGTAACCTGAGTTGGATTTCACCAAGAATAAGGAAACGTAGATTATTTTTAAGGAAATTATTCTTTTTTTTCCAGAAAATTAAATTATTTCAATAACATTTATTCTCTTTTTTATTTTTTTGTTAAAAGTTGTACTTAATTCGTTCTCCTACATGGAATCATGATTTTTGTGAATCAAGCTTTTTGTTTTGACCTTTAATTTTTGATTTATTTAAAATCATTTATGTGAATCACGATTTCTTTGAAGCAGCCGATCATTGAAGCAGGAAATCATGGAGAAATTAAGTTTCCCTGAACAAAATTCTGATTTTATTGAAATTGGTTTTGATGAATTTTGATTTCTATGAAATCGTTTTTTGGTGAATGCGATTTCTTGACAACGATGATCATGCACTGATTCGAATTAAGAAAATTGTTGACGTGATCATTAGATTAAGGAAACGTAGTAAATATTTGAACGAATTTGTTTTTTTTTTTTCAGAAAAATTGAAACAGTAATCAAAACTACGTAGTTTTAAGCATTGGGTACCTAATCTTATATACCCTTAAAGGTATATTCACTTTACAAATCGATCAAATAAATGCAATATATTAAATATTGAAATTTATTCATAGGTATTTATGAATTTTATATTAATGGTATAAGTTATTCAAAATATTAATTAGAATTTAATTATATATTTTTAATAATAAGAGTAAAAACTAAAGTTTTTGTTAATAAAAGCTAACAAGAAATTAATGATGTAAGTTAGAGGAATAAAAATGTAACATTCAATATTTGTTGAATTCTAAAATTAAGGTCAATCGGTGGGACCCCAAGAAAAAGACCATTTCTACAAAAGAAAAAAAATTGCCCTATTTCTACCAACCATTCTCAAAACTACCCTATTATTTCCAAAAACTCGGTTTGCAAGGGCTCTGCTACCATAAAGTTTGGTATCTCTGTGTCGATCTTCTCATTAAACAAATGGAGATATAAATACAACGTGATCCCTATAACTATGGAAAAGATATATACAATAAATTACATCAAATAAACACAAAATAATATGGGAAGTATATCTTCTAAGAAAAAATTTAAAATACGAAAGAAACTAAAATAACTAATAAATATAGTATAAAATATCGCCAGATTGACAAAATCACACGATTTAATTAAGTAAAAAAACAGAAAATCTTGATAAAAACCAAATACTTTGAAATCAGACCCCTAAAGAAATGAATTTGGGCTTCACAATCCTGTTGAGACGTTTCCATGGAGTGATCATGGCTGCCTAATTCTTTATATAAAAGTTATGCCCGTGTACAGTTAAACCACTTCCTCCACATACATGAACGTTTAGCATGTTGCTCTACCTCAGCCTCGACCATGACCCTAACCTCGACTTCGACCTCAGACTCAGACTCAGACTCAGCCTCGAACTTGACCTCAGCCACGACAGGGACCTCATCCTCATCATTAAGGATGAGATCGTTGCACGTAGATGTTCCAATTTCCTAGCATTCAATATTGCAAGGTTACAACTCCATTTATTTTGTTAAAATCATGGACTAATCAAGAAATTTGATGATAACATTAATGTGATAAGAGAAAGATGTAAGTGTCAAAAAGTATACCTCGGGTATGTGACCAACTATGGCTGGCTTCCTTTGGGATAAAGCTGTAAACAGCATTTCATCTCCTGATAAAAATAGAGAAAAAGTATTACGTTAGTTATCATTTACATGCATCCTCTTGGACAAAGTAGTTGTAGTTAGGCTTCTTAATGTGTTGGGTCAGATCTAATCTTTACATTTATGTGATCCAAAATATCAAAAACTTGATCGATTAAAATTTAAAACTTGTTTCATATTTTATAGATATAAACTCTGATTTTAATCAATGAACTTTTGGCACACAAAAACTAGAGAAAAAATACATATATAGGATACAACAAAAAATTATTTAATAAGTAGAATGATATATACCTTTATAGTAGTCGCGGTCTCCAACAAATTTACCATATCTCATAAATGGTTTGACACCATGTGTAGTAATTCGCAATATGCTTAGGATGTATTCTCCTGTTGTTAGCTGATACCCAGTAAGATCTCCACCAATGATGTGATTCCATGACTTGTAATAACCCAATGCATCTTCTTCATCCGTGTTTCCCTCATCATAAACAACACTCACCCCACATTCCATTGCAATTCCACTATATGACATAAAGTTTCTTAGAGTGATACTAACCAAGTCACCACCTTCCATCTCATTCATCCTAAACATCCAATGGCTTAACACAGTGTAAGACTCTTCACCTACACCAACATTGGCAATGCAATGTTCATATATCCAGGTTCGGTTTTTTGTTATATTATGAATAATGATCACTGGCAATCGATATGTACTGACATAGCAGAAATTAAATCCTCTAGGCTTGTTTGGAGATGATAAAATGGTAAGTGATATTGATGGCCCATTGCTTCTATGTGTAATCCAATTTGGCATATCTTTCCCCCCGTAAATTGTGCTGAATATTCCAAATTCATAATACATCTGCCAAATTAAGACAACCGGCCGGCTTAAGTAATCATTGTAAATTATATATACATATATATTCATAGACATAAAGTTAACTAGAGATAAAACCTGGATTTGATGTTCCCGTGAGTTTCTCCCATTAGAATAAGTTTGCACGCCCCTTTTATTAAGGAAGTCGAGCTTCTTCCAGCATAAACTATGTAATACCTTTTCCTCAACACCTGCCATTGGTTGGATCTTGACCATGCCTTCAATTTCACACGACTGAGGTGCTAACGATGTCCACGGTATTAATAAGTCAAGTGGGCGCATTTCTGGATCAAATACAACTTTACGTAGCACATGCCGTTTACTAGAAAAGATGCTCAAAAATGTTAGTGAAGTTGGAGGATGCTCAACTGACGTAAGCATGTCACAGTGTTGCATAGTGAGCGATTGAAGCCTAGAAAGGCTTCTCACACAATTAGGCATGGAACTGATACGGTTTTCATCTAAATTTAATTCCTCTAACATGGAAAAGCAACTAAAGTCCATCGGAAAGGATTCCGTGTACAAATTATTATTTGCAAGTGACAACCTTACTAAAGAGCTTGGCAAAGATATCGTGAAGAACTTTGAATCACTTGGTATAGCCTCAAGAATGGCGGAGGAAGAGAATTCTGTGTTTATGCCAATGTTGTTAGCCTTGACCATTTTGCATTTATCCCTAATCTCGATTTGGGATCTACCGAGATTGCAACCATCTAGCAATAGTGTTTTAACCATCTTTAACATGCCCATGGTAAGTTTTTCAAGCTTGTTGCAGTACCTTAGATCAATGTAGACAAGTTCAACACAATTCTGAACTGATTCACAAACCTCAACCAATTCATTGCAATTTGTAGCTATTAATCTCTCAAGTGCAGGGAATTCTACAAAGCCAACCAAACTACGAAGCTGTCCACAAAAACTTAAATTAAGAATCTTCAGTGATCCAAGAAACTTTTTGTCATTTCCGCACGATCCAATTAACTGCTGAAATGGGGATAAGTAAGAAAAGTAGAGCAGTTCATCAACTCGGCATGGATGAATAATAAATGGACATAAGTTACCTTTCCCCTGTACTCAAGTTGTGGATTACGATCAAAATTGACAAATGATTCGATATTGATATACGACATGTCAAGAGCAACCAGATAATCTGTTGGTAAGTGTGAAGGTATATACTTTGAAGGGAACCCATGCATACACAACCATCTTAATTCTTTCGAAAAGTTTTCATAAGACCCTTGGACATTCACATAATTGAGTTGTAGGAGCAACATATTATCCATGTTACTCAATACATCTGTTTTTAACTCAAATGATCCACATAACATCTCTTTCTTAAGCATTCTCATGTCAAGGGTGAGACCGAGAAGATTTCCCATACTCTAACAAGAAAAGAAATGCAACAAAAATTAAAATTAAAATTGTGACATATACGTATACGTATGAGTACATGGTATGTACGTACGTACGTACATACGTACATACATACATACACATACCTATAGACAATACACAATACTTCGAACGTGCATAGTATCAACAACTATACAATAATTTCTTACCCTTTTTTGCTTCAACACTTTGAATGACTCCTCATTACACCATAATCGACTTCGCTTCCATGGCTTGTCAGGTGATTCTTGATGCACTACAAATCTTCCCATCTCCTGAATCAACCGATGCATCATCAATGTGTTATTCTGTCCGATACTAAGAAGGCATTTATCAATGAGATTCATGATCCCAGATCTTGTTTTTATATCACATGCCTTTAATATTGTTTCAGTAAAATCTCTATCCATTCCAACAAAAAAACAAGCAATATACTTAAACAACTCCTTATCATTTTTGGATGACAATGAGTCAAAGCTTTTTCTCAAGACATTGTTTATAGGTGAGCCATTGTCTTTCTTTAGCCCTTCCATGTGTTCTTCCCAATACACCACATCTCGGTTATGTAGAGACTTGCCCAAAACTTGAAGAGCCAATGGATGTCCTTGACAATACTCCACAAGCTTTTCTAATACCTCTTTATAGCCTGCCTTGGGATGGTGGGCCTGAATGCATGAAAACAGAAAAGTTGTTGTGCTTCATGCTTATCTAAGCCTTGAAGTAGATGCTTTGCATGCATGGGCTTGATGGCCGCTTTGAACAATGCACAACTCTCTGTCAACCATGCGTCCTTTGTTGTTATAATAATTTTGCTTTCCGGATAAAAACCTTTGCTTCCAAGTAATGCATCCAACTGGTCGAGACTATCAATATCATCAAGAACAAGAAACACCTTTTTAAAGGCTATTGCATTCTCTATCTTTGAAGTGTATACAGAAACATCACGAACTGTCTTGAACTTGTTTTTGATATGTCATCATGGAGTTGTTTTTGTAAATCAAGCAACCCATTAAAATTTCCATCACATTTCCTACTGATATCTTCAATAAAGCTGCTTGTGTCGAATTCATGAGAATGTAACCCATAGACATATTTGGCCAAAAATGTCTTCGCGATCCCACCCATACCCAAAATAGTGAGTATGCCTGTCGTTTGTGAGGATGTATCTTTTAACCATGAAGTGACGAATTTCTTGGAATAGGCCATCCCAATTAGTTGTGGCATAGGAATCTTTGAGTGTTTGCGTAATCTAAAGTAGATGTTGTAACAATTTCATCAATAAACTCCGTCTCCTGCCTGAAAGTTGATTTAATAAGAACCACAAAACACAATCCAAAAAACTAACATACCAGATCTGGAGATTTAATTTATTCAAAGATCCAATTTCATATGAAGCTACTACGGTTAGTTAAGTTTTTCACATCAAAATTCCAACATATTTATAGTTCTAACCATATAAGTATCTGATGTTTAAGGCCACAATTTCTATGTATAATACGATTAGAAGTTTAGAACCACTACTGTTGAAAGATATAAACTAGACAAGGGTAGTTTGGTAATTATCTATTGAAACAGTAGTTATTAGTATTTATTATCAGTAATTATTGTATTGCATCTAAGGTCTATAATATGTACGTGTCAATGTAATGTTTGGTTGTTGCAGTAATTAATAAAGATTTGTGTTTCGTGTGTAAGGCAACCCTTCTCCTTCATTGTTTTTTCTGTTAAACTCCTCTTGACAAACTCTGTGTTGTTTGTGGTTTGTGGTTTGTTTCCAACAACAAGAAAAAATATTTCTACATGTTTCTTGTTTTCTGGGTTGTTTCTCCAACAAATACAAGATTTCACTAACAGGCAACCGAAATTTCATTATGTTTTGAAAAATCCATCAAAGTAAAATATTGATGTGGTTTTGCATGAATCTATAATAAATGTTATGGTTTATATATAATATGATAGCAAGCCATTCAAAATTTGATTTTTAATTCTTTTTTTAGAACGGCAGAGAATATTATAAACAAAAAAAGAAACAGTAGCAACCAAAATACACCAAAAAAACTCACACACATATTATAATTATCAAATGATTAATATATCTACTAAATAAATTAAATTAAGAATATTATAATAGCTGTATAACAATTTATATAATTTGATTCCAACCCAAAACATGTTACAAAATGGTTAATACGCATTTTTATCCGATTTAAATCAATTCATTTATCAGATCATATAATTGAAAATTAGAGTCCACTTGTTGCATCTTGGTCCAGTTAACATATACAAAACATATGTCTTTTTCAAACATTGAAGAAACGTAGCATTCAGAGAAGATGACACTGAAACTTCATGTGTTGATCAAACAAAATTGAAGGAGGCGTGTCTAAATAGGGTAAGAAACGTAGTTACCTGCCATCTACATTCATCCCTTTCAAATCAGCAACTTCAGTAAGAGCTTGACTCCATCGGTAAAGCTTTTGAGCCCACTGACTTCTTTTATTTGGATTTGTCTCAGCCTTCATCACTCGTTTATGCTTAGCTATTGCATCTCCAAAGTGGGATCGACATGATAGAAGATGGGGATAACAATTTGTTTGGATGCCTTATGTTCCCCAAGGATTAGTACCAGTTCATCAAGACACCATGACGAATTAGCATAGTTCTTGGACAACACGACAATAGATGCCCTAGATTCTTTAATGGCACCCTCCAATTCTGGTTTAAGATCACCTCCGGTTTCAATCTCTTTATCATCCAAAAAGGTAGAAATATCGGCACCCAGGAGGGCCTTATGGAGATGATCTGTGAAACTATGACGAGTATCAGTACCTCGAAAACTTATAAACACGTCATATTTATGATCATTAGTAGATGAAGACGATCCTTCAATGTATTCAGATAATATAACCATTAGGAGAGGGAAGATATGAGTTCTTTGGATCAAATTAAGACTGGCTAGGTAATGGCTTTTGTAAAGGAAATCCAAGTCGACTTCTTATTTTTGAACGCCGGAGAATTGTATTAAACTAACCCGTGCAAGTCAACAACTACTTCTAATAAATAAAAATATGTCTTCGAATTTTCTTGGAAGCTTACTAGATGAATTTGAATAATAGATTACATGGGTCGGGTATCGAATTTTCTTGGAAACTTACTAGAAGAATTTAAACAATTCATGAGATTTGGGTGAATTGTAAAAGTTATGCAAGTATTATACATGGGATTAAAAATTTCTTTATAAAAGTTCTACTAAAAATAATGGTCTTTATGGATTTAAAAATTCATTTCAGTGTTTATGAATTTTTTTTGAATGAATAATCTGTAACTATTATTTTATATTGCCGCCAGTTTTTTTTACCAACTCTTTTAACAGCTTTTGTTAAATGTTCAATAACCAAAATACCCTTTAGTTTTATTTTTTAATCTTTTTTTTTGATTCATGGGTTTGCTAATGGTAGTGCATCAGGTATTGTAACTAATGTCTTAACTTATATAAGTGCTTGTACTTTCTCTATTTACAACATCAAAAATGTCAAATTTCAATAAATCCCAATAACATTTAATGAAAGCAAAATTAAACCCATCAGGGCTCGGGGCTTTTTCACCACCTACTTCACCTCTTCGATAGTACATGAAATCTCAAGGCCGGTCGAGAGCTTGCTGATCTGAAAGCTCCTTTTTTTCAACCAACAAATATAAATATATATTGTACTCCTAAACTAACACCAATTCTACCTATGTCCACGACGAGACTTGAACTATCGACCTCAAAGAAGGAGGACACCACCAGATACCTCTCGGGTAGAAGTCCTTTGGTCGAGAGTTCCTTAAACCGAGGACTTCTACTCTCCACCAGGGTGACTAGTATTTTCTTAAACTTATCTTTATGGTAATAAAAAAAACTTTCCTAACCCGAGCAACATCCATGATTTAGTTACCATCAACTTTCATGCCTTTAAAATTAAGTTGCCTTTAGTCACCATCTAATCTTTGCTTTCTGTGCCACATCCATCATCTTTTTTTTCTACAAAGCAAATTACTATGATCGAAGACCGATAACTTTCCTCCATGATAGAAGTTGAGAATACTCCACCATCTATTATTCTGCTAATTTCTTGCAATCGATTCCGAATTCAACTTTTCTCCATGAATGAAGTTGAGCATACTCCACCATCTACTATTCTACTAATTTCTAGCAATCAATTCTAAATTGAACTTGTGCTTCCTTTTCTTAATCTCCCACCATTTCCTAAGATTTTGTTTAAGATTCTTAAGTTTATTTTCGAAACATATGCCAACTCCATCATCTATAGCCACCTAATTACTCCAAGAATTATGGACCACCTGATCAAAGTCGATCTCATGCATCCAAGAAGTAAAAAAAAAATAAAAGGTCTACGACTATAATCAACTACTATCTACGAAAGGAAAATGAGTCCATGATCCAACATAATCAACTCCAAAGTTATAGTCAAAAGCTCACGAAAACGTCTACTCACTTCTTTAGACACAAAAAACGATATAGTTTACTTAGTTTTGTACCATTCACACTGTCACTAGTAAAAGAATACCCCCATTGTTATTTCAATAATATCATTATCCACTATGAACAAAATGACATTTAGTGGCACGATCTTTTAGTGTCCTATTTTCTTTGTTCCGCTATATTGTGCTTTTAATAGCATATTCTTAGAAAAATCAACAATATATCACAACTTAATCAGTCCATTTTATTATGAACCAGAACGTTATACATTGAACAATTTACAAAGAAAGGCCTCTCTACAAAATACTCTTAACTCTCATGTAAACATACCAAAAATTTCCACAAATTTTAAACTTTTCAAAACAACTCATTTATTAACAAAAGTGTTTACAAAAACATTGTCTTCAAAACATGATTTAAAGTCAGAGTCTCCCAAGATCCAATCCGATGTAAAACTGAGGATGTGTACGGTCACGCCTTCGCCTTGCCACGAATCATCTGAAGTACCTGAAACGATAAAGAAACTTTAAGCACGAAGCTTAGTGAGTTCCCCCCAAAATACCACCGCATAAACAGATAGCACATAGATAACAACAACATGTACTGGGTCAATAGCTAAAAGACTGGATTACCCTGAGCCTATAGTATGAGTCTGGCTTGCCTATCAGGTCGACAACTCATATATGGCCTACTCTTGAGCCAACAACATAAGTCTGGCTTGCTCCCGGGGCCCACAACCTATGTCTGGCTTGCTCCCAACTTAATCAGTCATCAGACTAGAATACCAATGTGCGACCCTCAATACGAGTCTAGCATACCAACCGGTCCACAACTCGTATCTAGAATGCTACTACGCCCTCAATATGAGTCTGGCATGCCCTACCCAACCCTCAGCTCATATTTGGATCGTTCCAATATCCTCAAGCCCTCAGTACGAGTCTGGCATACAAACCGAGACCTTATATAATATCTGCAATGCTACTAAGCCCTCAGTATGAGTCTGGCATGCCCTACCCAGCCCTCAGCTTATATCCAGAATGCTCCAGGGTTTGTTGGCTACAACACGAAGTAGTACAACCTCAAACCAACACAATATGCTGACATATAACCAACATATACAGATAATCATGTAGACAGAATCATAGGTAGTCCTACAGATCTACCAGACTAGCAAATAAATAACTACCATACTCATGCATATCTATTCGATACTCGGCATATCAGCAATATCAGGTTATCAAACCAAAGGGCCGGCCCTGGTGCCTTCGACCCGAAAGTACAATGAGGAAAACTCACCTCACACTGCCGAACATAAAGACGATCCCTGGTTGCCAGATCCCCAAACCTCCAGTATCAAGACAAACACCTCATCACAGTTGATCCCCCGAATAATCTCTGACTGCAGACCCGCTATGATCCCCGTGATATGAACAAACAAGGATAACCCATCAACATCTAGTCCCTGAATCAGGCTATGAGTCCAAATTAGGGTAAAAGACCTTTTTACCCTTCCCAAGCTTGGCCTAAAGCCAAGGCCCAACTAGATGACCAAAGGCCCAAATCCAAAACAAACATATAAGGCCCAATTATGGCCTAATTTTCCAAATTGGGCCAATTAATTTTGTGGGCCTTCACTCAAGAAAGTCCAACAAGACAAAAGCCCAAACCATAAAATCGAGATGGCCCAACATGGCCACAACAAACCGAAGCCCAAAACGAACAGGCCCAATATTGTCGCATACATGGGGTGTACTCCGGAGGTGTCAGCGTACACGAGGTTGCGCAGTATCCATCATCAGGGTGGCATATTGGGTACGTGGGGCGTTACACCGCCCTATGCGGAGTGTACCCTTGCAGAATCCAAAACCTCAATAAGTGCTTAATGGCTCAAGCACTTAAGCCCAAACTTCAGATCCATGGTCCAAATGTACCTTAGAGTCATAAAGTCTCCAACGTTATGACTTTAGACGTCCAAAAAGTCCTTCAAACATGGTCTTAATCCATTAAAACCTTCCCCAAGAAGCATGGAGCCAAACTAGCTAAAGGGACCTCATTTTTATGGCTTAGAATCCTTCATAGGGTCTGAAAGGACATCCCAAAACGTCCAATACCAAACATGCACAACAATGGGACCTTTTGGGACAAAACAATATCATAAAGCTACCAAGATGAGATCTAAGCAAACCAGGCATAAAGTTAAAAACTTTTTACCTTCTGTAGCTTCCCAAGAAGATGATGATCCAAGATCCACAAGCTTTCTTTCCCCTATAGACTCCTTGATTCAATTCCTTATCCTTTATGTACACAAAGAACACACTTTAAGCTCAAAACACTCTCTTATGGGGTTAGGGTTTGCTAAGAACGATTCAAGGGCTTGGAGGCAGAAAATATGAGGCTAAATGATCCATAAAGGTGCTTAAATACCCCACAAACCCTAAAACTTAGGGTTTCTTTCGGACAAGAGTACGCCCAGTGTATATATGTGTACGCCTAGTGTACTAGGTCACACCCTAGTAAGCTTAGCGTACTCGCCTGTACGCGTAGTGTACAAATCCTGCACTCAAAATTATCATTTTGCCACTAGGGCTTCTTGCGACCACTTCCTTCCAAAACGAGGACCAAAATGACATACTTTAAAACCAAGAGATGAATTTGAAAATTCCTGAAAACCAGGGCATTGCATCTCAGACTTTTACAAAGAATCATGAAGATGAACAAAACCCTAAAACTAGAGAGAAGGAAAACAACAAGGTACGATATAAAAATGATATGGTCTAAACACGTATATCTTCGGGTACCAATAAATATCTCAACTTACACTTAATTCCATATGTAATAAGAAATTACAAATAACACCCTCTCTATAATACCTATACAAAACACTTAAAACACAAAACTAAAATATATATATAATAGATATATATATATATATATATATATATATATATATATATAGATATATATATATATATATATATATATATATATATATATATATTTAAATATAAATTGTAAGTTTTCTAAAATAGAAAATCATTCTATTTTCCAACACCCCCTCTCAAACTTGACAATTTATCATCAACTTTTTAAAAAGGATCGAATAGACCAAGTCTATTAGAAAAAAATTATGTTGAGAACAAATTAAAGACTTAGTCAAAATATCAGCAGTTTGGAAAACAGAATCAATTTTAAATATTTCCAAAATTCCATTTATAACTTTTTCTCTGACAAAATGAAGATTACTTCAAAATGCTTAGTTTTCTCATGAATACTGGATTTAAAAACTAACTTGATTGCAAAATCATTATCACAAAATACACTTACAGGAGTTAATTTATCAAATTTAACATCTTTTAAAATCTATAAAATCCATAATATTTCACAAGTTATTGAACCCAAAGCTCTGTATTCAGATTCAGTAGAGGATTTGGATACAGTGTTTTGTTTTTTACTTTTCCAGGAATAAGATTATTTCAAAAGTACACTAAAT